ATATCCCTTGTTCCACATACTTGTCTGAATCTGGCTTGAATGTCTGGCAGTTCACTGCAAATGTACTACTGCAGCCATTTTTGAATGATTTTTAGCAAAATTTTACTTACATGCAATATTAATGATATTGTCCACTGATTTCCACATTCTATAGGGTAACCTCTCTTTGGAATGGGCACAAATATGGATCTTTCAATAAGTTTGCCAGGTAGCTATCTTGTGCACGTTTCTTGGCATAGATGAGTGAGTGCCTCCAGTGTTGCATCAGTTTGTTGAGAGATTTCTATTTGTATTCCATCTGTTTCCGGCGTCTTGTTCTTTGTCAATGCCTTCAGTACACCTTGGACTTCTTTTTTCAGTACCATTGGTTCTTGATCCTATGCTCCCTCTTGAAATGGTTGAACATTGACCGTTTCTTTTTGGTACAGTGACTCTGTGTATTCATTTCACCTTCTTTTGATGCTTTCTGTATCATCATTCAATGTTTTGCCTATAGAAGCCTTCAACACTGCAAGCTGAGGCTTGAAATTTTTCTTCAGTTTCCTCAGCTTGAGAAATGCTGGTTTTCTAACTCTAGGTCTTTACAAATTTCATTATAATATTTGACGTTGTCTTCCCTAGCTGCCCTTGGAAATTTTCTATTCAGTTCTTTCACCGCCTCATTTCTTTCATTTGCTTTAGCATCTCTACATGGGAGAGCAAGTTTCAGAATCTCTTTTGACATCTACTTTGGTCTTCTGTTTCTTTCTTGTCTTAATGACCTTTTGCTTTCTTCCTGTACGATAGTCTTGATGTCATCCTACAATTTTTTAGGTCTTTGGTCATTAGTGTCTAATTCATCAAATATGTTCTTGAGATGATCTCTAAATTCAGGTGGGATATGTTCAAGATCCTATTTTAGCTCTCCTGGAGTTATTTTAATGTTCTTTAGCTTCAGCCTGAACTTTCATATGAGCAATTGAAGGTCTGCTTCAGTCTGCCTCTGACCTTGTTTTGGCTGATGATATGGAGCTTTTCCATGGTCTCTTTCCACAGATGTAGTTAATTTGATTTCCAAGTATTCCATCTGATGAGGTCCATGTGTATAGTTGTCTTTCATATTGTTTAAAAAAGCTATCTGCAATGAAGAAATCATTGGTCTTGCAAAATTCTACTATGCAATTTCCAGCATTGTTTCTATCACCGGGGCCATTTTTTCCAACAACTGATCCTTCTTCTTTGTTTCCAGCCTTTGCCAGTAATTATCAATACATCGTGATTTTCAGAATGGTCAACTTCAGACTGAATAAGTTGGTAGAATTCTCCAATATCATCATCACTGGCTTTGGTGGTTGGTTCATAAATTTGAATAACAGTGGTACTAACTGATCTTCTTGTAGGCATATAGATATTTTCCTATCACAGACGTTGTACTTCAATCAGATCTTGGTATGTTCTTTTTGATGATGAATGCGACGCCATTTCTCTTCAATTTGTCACTCCAGGCATAGTAAATGATGTGATTGTCAGATTCAAAATGACCAATACCAATCCATTTCAGCTCACTAATGCCTAGAATATAATTGTTTTTGCATTCCATTTCATTTTTGACAACTTCCAATTTTCCTAGATTCATACCTCATACATTCCATGTTCTGATTATTAATGGACGTGTACAGCTGTTTCTCTTCATTTTGAGTGGTGCTCCATCAGGAAATGAAGGTCCTGAAGGCTTTACTCAATTCGCATCATCATGGTCAATTCTACTTTCAGGAGGCAGCTCTTCTCCAGTTGCATTTTGAGTGCCTTCCAACCTGAGGGGCTCAACTTCTGGCACTGTATCTGATAATATTTGGGTGCTCTTCATCATGTTTCAATACTCAGTATTGAATACTGGTGCTATCTGACAGTGTTCCACTGCTATTCATTAGGTTTTCAGTGATTAACTATTTGGAAGTATTCTGCTTCTCCATATTCCTAGTCTATCTTAGTCTGTAAGTTCAGCTGACACCTGTCCACCATGGTTGACCCTCCTGGTATCTAAATGATCGGTGGCATACCTTCTAGAATCACAGCAACATGCAAGCTACCACAGCATGACAAACTGGCATTATCTACTTATAATGACCAGGATAGGAGCTATTCTTATTGAGTTCTAAGTATTTGAAAGAAAGTACATGCACTTTTTCTTACACCAGTGGTTATTTTTGTTGTTGTTTGCTTGTAAAATAAAAAACCACTTGGGAATATGTTGAAAGCTATGAAGCCCACTGTGATAGTTAAAATATTGTGCCAATCTGACTGGGCCAGGGTTCTCATTGGTTTGGTGGTTAAGATGTAGCAATTTCCCATGATGAGGTCTGTTATGAGCAGTCTATCAACTGAAAGGAAGTTTTCTTAGGGACCTGGCCTGTTTCCAATAAACTGGACACCTAGGCAAAGCTTGCTTAGTCTCTGCTGGGTCTGGATCTTGCATCTGGCTTGTCCTCTGACCTCTGGCTCTTTGGATTTGAGCCAGTGGCCTGCTCTATTACCTGTTGCTCCTGGGAGTCTGGTAAGAAGGAGCCTGCTTTCTTACCTGTTGGACCTGCCTGCCATTTGACCTACCAATGTTAGTTCATCAGCTCTGCA